GAACGGCAAGTACCCAGAGAACATTAGAAATATCTTCTGAAGCTAAATGTGCTACATCATGTGCTAAAGACTTGGCTAGCATGAACCACAATACATCCATTGAACTGCTCTAGTGGGTGTTTACTTTTTGATACACCGTGACATTTTTCCTTTCTATCTGGTCCCAAATATGTGTGCACCTCATTCCATCTCAGATGTTGAACTTTTTAGCAAAAGATGGGACATTAAGAAAACGATGAGTCTCATCATGATTTATGTCCAAAATCATGATTGGTTGATGGACTAGAAAAGAGGCCGAACGAAGGCTAAATTTATTTCAGTCATTGTTCGCATGAGACCCACATCGTGATTAACAGTCATTTTAACCAAATGCAACAAAGGAGTATCTGTCTTGAATTTGCACTTCCGTTTTTTCTTCCATCATTTTTTTCAACTTGCTTCATCCGGTTGTCACATGGCTGAGATCTATGAACTCTGAAAGTTCCCAAAGAAGACGACAGTAACATGTTGAGGTAGTTTGCGCCAAGAAGATAATGGTGGGGGCTACTAAGAAAGAACGATTAAATGCTTCCATGGGAAATCAAAATTACTTTTGTAGAGATCAAGTCCCTTTGTGCAGTCATCTTCGCCTTTGATTTTCCTCATTTTGTCTCCAGAAAAGATAGCAAGTCTTATGATTGGCTAGACATAAAGGAGAAATGTCCCTAATAATGGGCTATCAAACGGCATAACACTTTGAAGGTTCTGTTGATCACTAAATGTAAATTTATGATCATTGGTTGTACGTTCTGTTTGTATATATTTGATGGTGGTGGTTATTGTCACACATTTTTATTAAAATTATATAATTTTATATATTTTAAAAAAAATAATAATTATGATGTTTAAAAATATTTATTTGTAAATCGATTTCAATATATTAAATAATAAATATGAATTGTTGTATCAACTCTTATAGTTTTTCAGTAAAAAAAAATTAATGTATCAACTCTTAGTTGGTTCTAATAACTAAATTGATAAAATATCAATTAAAAATTTGTGGCATTAACAAAAAGTACAATTAAAATTACATGAATTTAGCAATTTAAACAAAAGGAAAAAAAAAAAATCACATGGTTGTCGATTGTCACTTTGTCATATCTTACAAGAGAAGCTGATGCATTGTGACTCTGATAGAGATCATACAATTAGATATACGACTTCTTTCTTTAGTTGTTAGGGCACTTTCTTAGGGCTTTAATCTTAAAAAAAAAAAAAAAGGTTCAAGGACTAAAAGCGGCAAAAGGATAAGTTGGGGTCTGAAACTTGGGTTATCCTCTCTTGGGATTTAGCGTTTATTTATTTACATTTTTTTTAA